TTGTATTCCTCATGAATAAACTTGGGATACAGTATGCAATATAATTTTATTAAATGTTGAGAAGTTAAACAAGTAGATATGAATTCGTTTATTCAAATACTTGCTACCTTTTTAAGGCATAATTGTGTGGACAGTTTTACTTTAAGGCCACCACTTTGTATATGTGTATCTTCAAAAAGAATAATTAATGCTACTCTCTTGCTGAAGGTCTACAAGTCAAAAGGAAAGCTGAGCAACAATTATTCTTATGATATTCAATTCAGTATAACTTCCCCCCTGTATTTTCAGTAATTCTAAATTTCATTTTTTACCTCAGAACATAATTACCTTTGTTTTGATTGTCACTGTGTTAAACTTGATTAAATACTAAAATATCATTTAAATTAAATGTATTCTTTGTTGACTGAAACCTGTTGAAATTCAGTTTATTAGAAGCTTATTGTTAGCAGATATAAGTTTAAAGAAAGTGGATGGTAGGGTGATATTCTATTGGGTTTCCAATGTTATTTTTAGTGCCAACATTTTTGGACTAGATTATTGGAGCACATTTTTTAAAACTTGGATAAATAATTTGGCATGTAAAATGGCACAGAGAAATGCATCTCATTCTGCAAATTATGTTATAGGCTCTGTTCAAACTTAAAATTAGGGATATTTACTTTTTGGCAGCAGTTAAGTAATGAAGTATTATTAAAAGGCATTGATAATAATGACAAAGTAGCCCACTTTTGGATATGTAAATGTCCCTCTTCAAATTAAGAAACTCCTTTCAAATCATTAGCCTTGACTTACAAGTAGTTTAAGTGCTTTTCTCTCAGGAGGACCCAGATCTATTTGTTTTTCATTCTAAAGTTTTTGAAAGAGCCCCTTCCTGCCCCCGCTTCCTATGATCACTGGATAAACAATGTTTTAAACACCTATTAGTAATCAGTTTTCAGTGCTGAAAACTGATTTAATAGGTTTTATATATACACATCTATAAATAATAAATAAAACATTTGATATATTTAAAATTTAAAAAGTATATATCCTATTTATATTGATGGTCATATTAGAATATTTGTGTGGGTAATTAATATTTTTTCTTTTATTGATTTGGTCTTTTTAATATCTGTCCAACATATTCAAAGTCCACTCTCTAAACATTCCTTTAGGCTTGACTGAAGGCTCTCTATTATTTGTAATGTATTGCCCCAAACTTAGTAGTTTAAGACAGTAAACATTTATTATTGTCCATAGTATAACTTCTTTAGATTAGAATCTGGGTGTAATTTCACTAGTCGCTCTTGCTCAGTTGTCCAAAGGAAGGCTTTCTGGTGGTTGGAAGATCATCCGTCAAGGTGCCTCACTCACCTGTTTTGCAAATTCATGGTGGCTTTCAGGAGAGGACTCCAGGGTTTGTGTCTGGCTCTTGCCATGGGGTTTGGGTATTTTGAAGATATGGTGACTTGCTTTGTGCAGAGTGTGTGATCCAAGAGAGATGCTGAAGCTACAATGCCTTGTTAATGAACTAGTCTGGGAAATCACACACTCTCACTTCTACAGTACTGTGTGCATTAGAAGAGACTCACTAAGTAAAGGGTGCATTCAAGGGGAAAGAGAATACAAATGGTCCTCCAAGTCCTACCCAAGAACTGTGAACATATTTTAAAACTGCCTAATGGGCCTCCTTAATAAAATCCATACTCTTTCCTAGGTATCTTATGTTCTACTTTGCTTTTAAGTACTAACTTATAATTCTCAAATTTATTAAAACCTCTTCATCATCACCAAGCCCTTATTATATGAAATGTTGAAGAGACTTATCTAAGGAAAAGGAGTTAAAAAGTATGAACAGTGAAAGAACAGCAAACCCACAGTTATTAACAATCACATCTAAAACAAAAGCAAACTAAGCAAACGACTAGAACAGAAACAGAACCACAGAAGTGGAGATCACATGGATGGTTAGCAACAGGGGAGTGGAAGGAGGAGAAGGGGGAATAAGTAGCATACAGAAAATAAGTAGCATAGATGGTAGGTAGAAAATAGACAGGGAGGAGGGCAAGAATAGTATGGGAACTATAGAAGCCAAAGAACTTGTGACACATGGGCATGAACTAAAGGGGGGAAATGTGGGTGGGAGGGGGTGTGCAGGGTGGAGGGGAATGAATGAGGGAAGTGGAACAACTGTAATGGCATAATAAATAAAATATATTTTGTAAAATGTAAAAAAAAAACCCTCTCTTCTGAGTCACTGACCTGTATTTAATTTATGTCCAGTTTTTATTTATGGCACTACCATCTAACCATTTGTTGGTCAGGCAAGAAATCCTTGCCCCCTCTCTTTTATCCTAACATTTAATCATCAAATGATGTAATTTCTGTTTATGAACAGAGATGAAATGTGCTCTCTGCCATTACTCATATAAAGCAACCATTTTGTCTTTACTGTACAAAATAGCTTTATAATATGCATTTTCTTATTGATGCCTTTAATTTTTTTCTCTAGTAAATTTGATTTTATTTAAATAAACACAATTTTGGGTAAATGGAGTGTAAAGGTAAAAATTGGAAACTAAATACAAATGTAGCCTGTTTTGCTAATGTTTTTGTATCATAACAAACAAACATATAAGGCAGGCTAGAGATTTCATTCTCTTCTAAATTCAGATTAAGCTGCAGCCCTTATGTTTTGAGTGAATCCTTCAGGATGTAGAAGAGTTCCATGGTTAAACCAGATTTAAACCAGATTTAAACAGGGCATTGGTAGCTTGATATATGTAAATGCCCGATTCACCTGTCCTGTAACTAAGTACCTTCCCCTTAATGCAGTGGCTGGAGGGTTAGTCCATTTAGTCAAAATATTTCTTTAATAGATACATAGTGCCCTTCTCTATGTTTTATATAATGTTACAACCACTTCTAATTATGCTAACTCTCTTTAATAAACACTGTCAATATGCTGAGAGAGGGAGAGAGAGAGAGAGAGAGAGAACAAACAACACGTTGAGTGTCACGCAGAATGGAAATGACTACACAGCTTGAGAACTTTAAGTGACCTGCTCAGAAGTTACGCACGGGTCTATGGAACAGTTATAGTTTTTCCAAAATAAATATGGTCAAAAGTAATGTCATCCTCAATTTTTAAACAATGGTCCTGGTTTCACAAACCAAATCAATATTCTCTCTAAGTTTCACGTGAAAATATTTATAGTAATAAAATTTCTCTTTTCTTACCTCCTTATTTCTCCTCTCACTTCATTTCCTTTCACATTTCATGCTTAATAAAAAAGCAGCAAGAAAAGTCACGTATATGTATTTAAATACATTTTATAATGTATGTGAGTTAAATAATCAGTGCAAATTTATAGCTGTCACATAATCTGTAAATGTCACATATCTCTAAAATTAATTCTCTTGTATGGAAAGCAACTTTATTAGGTTGTTGGAAAACAGCTTAGAATTTAACTTATGTGCATTTTAAAAGAAGTCTTGCTGAGCTTTTACAATTAAATATCAGACTTTCTTCCAGTACTGTACTGATTATGTTCACAGTTTTGGAGTAGGAAATTGTAAAACTTCACATGAAAAGATAGATATTTGGGTGTATAAAAATGAAATGTATATGAGTTCAGCAAACATCTAAAATCAACTTCAAACTACAAAAACATTTGCCACAAATATAAAGAACACATTTACATTTTTCTACAATATATTTTAAAATGGAACTATGGATGGATTTAAGCAACCAATTTAGAAATATGAAGGGTGAGTAAACGTATGAAAATATTTTTATTGTACAAATAAACTAGTGAAAATTAAAATAGGGATACTATATAATTTTTTGTCTAGCACTTTGAAAAAATTTAAAAGAAATGGTACTATGTAGTTTTGAAGAGAAAAGTAATAGTGGTGAAAGTACACATTTTTATTAAATGTTTTGACATTTATTTATTGGTATTTACCAAACAAAATATATTTATAGAAATATGTCATTAAACATATTTTGAAAATTTTATTTTTCCAAGATATTATTGCCATGGTATGCAGTATGTTAATACTTTTTTTGCAGTGATATGACAAAAAAACCATTGGTATATTCCTATATGTTTATCAACATAAGACCAATTAAGCAATGTTTTATATTTAAAAATAATGTAGCCATTCACCATGGGGAATATAATATAAAAATGAAAATATTTTCATCATGTATTGTTAAATTAATTAATAAAATATATTAAGCTATGAGACAATATGTGTAGTGTGATGTAATCTTAGAAAAATTTACTTGAGTAAAATTAAAAAAGTGGTGGGATGGAACATCTAATGTCCATTTTTCCTTTGGGAATTTCTAATAGGAAGGTTATCATATTGTTCACTGGTTACCTCTTGACATTTTTTAAAAGATTTGAGGAATGAGTTAAAGGAAGTTTTTTTCTATACACATCTCCTTTTCTTAAATAAACAACATTCATTATTTCTATAATTAACTCACCATGTATACAGATTACATTAATTATTACTTAAAACTATATAATTATGTATCATTGTGTCATAAAATTGAAACAGGCCAGTTTATTTAACTAAGCATATTTATAAACACAATAACAGTGTCATTTTCAGAGTAATGGTTTCCAAAAGAAAGAAAAGCAAAAAACAAACTGCACCCTTAATACTTCTGAGGCTTACCTGAGAATCTTATGCAGCAAATTGGAAATGTCTATATAATCTTTACTTCACATACCTGCCAACATTTCAGAAAATTCACAATGCTTTTTTCCATGTATAAGGAAAAAAAACTGTTAACAAAGTTTTTTTAAGAGATAACTGTTGTTAGAATAAATAATAGCTGTAAAGTTATTGAAGTGAGAGATATTCTCTCTCTCACTTCAATGAAAATTATGAATTGCAACAGCTTTCTTCTTTAATATGGCTTACCCCAAACACTGGGCAAGCAAACATAGGTGCTTTTCTGTGTAATAAAGAGGACTTACTTTCCTTCCTCCTCCTCCCCATAGCTTTTAGCCGCGCCCCCATACCGATGGCCGTGGTCCGCAGAGAGCTCTCCTGTGAGAGTTACCCCATAGAGCTGCGCTGTCCAGGAACAGACGTCATCATGATTGAAAGTGCCAACTATGGGAGGACTGATGACAAAATCTGTGACTCTGACCCTGCTCAGATGGAGAATATCCGATGCTATCTGCCAGATGCCTATAAGATTATGTCTCAAAGGTATGATACTTTTGATATTCTTTTAAAATTTTATTTGCATTGTATTTTTCTATTCTCATTTATCCCCCTTAGACACTCTTCTCCCTCCACCCAGCACCCCACCCTCCCTGCAGTCACCACAGTGTTGTCCATGTCCATGAGTTCTTTTTCCTTTTGGTTCAGTCCCTCCACATCCTAACCCCAGCCCAGGGCTGTCAGCCTGCTCTCTATCCACGAGTCTGTCTCTATTTTGCTTGTTAGTTCAGTTTGTTTACTAGATTTGACAGATGAGTGAAATCATATGGCGTTTTTCTTTCTCTGACTGGCTTATTTCAAATAATATGTTCTCCTGGTATATACATGCTGTTGCAAATGGTAAAATTTTCTTCTCTTTTTATAGCCACATAGTATTCCATGTGTAAATGTACCAAATTGTTTTATCCACTCATCTACTGGTGGACACTTGGACTGCTTCCAAATCTTGGTTATTGTAAATAACGCTGCAGTGAACATAGGGGTAGTTATATTCCTTTGAAGTAGTGTTTTGGGTTTCTTTGGATCAATTCCCAAAGTGGAATCCTTGGATTATAAGGCAGTTTCATTTTTAATTTTTTGAGGTAACTCCATTCCACTTCCTGCAGTGGCTGCACCAATCTGCATTCCCCAAAACAGTGCAAAAGGGTTCCTCTTTCTCCGCATCTTTACCAGCACTTGTTCATTAATTTATTGATGATTTCCATTCTGACCTGTGTGAGGTAGTAATTCACTGTGGTTTTAATTTGAATTTATTTGATTAGTGAGGTTGAGCATCTTTTCATATGTCTGTTGACCATGTGTATGTCCTCTTTGGAGAAGTGTCTCCTCAGGTCCTCAATCCCTTTTTAATTGGCTTGTTTGTTATTTTGGTATTGAGTTTTGTAAGTTCTTCATAAATTTTGGATATTAACCTCTTATCAGATATATCATTGGTGATTATGTTCTAGAATCCCATGGGTTGTCTTTTTCTTTTGTTGATGGTCTTCTTTGCTTAGAAAAAATGTTTTAGTTTGTTGTAGTACCATTTGTTCATTTTTTCTTTGGTTTATCTTACCTGAGGAGACATAGCAGAAAAATGTTGCTGCAATCAAATTCTGAGGTATTACTGCCTATGTTTTTTTTTTTCCTAGAGTTTTTATGGTTTTGGGTCTAATACTTAAATCTTTAATCTATTTTAAATTGATCCTTAAAGACCCATCCTTGGAAAATTATAAGACACTGAGGAAAGAAATTGAAGAAGATTTAAATAAATGGAAGCACATAGTGTGTTCATGGATGGGATGAATTCACATCATTAAAATGACCATACTACCCAAAGCAATCTATAGATTCAATGTGATTCCTGTCAAGGTATCAATGTTGTATTTTACAGAACTAGAATAAAGTTTTCACGAATTTATATGTAACCACAAAAGGTCCTGGATAGCAACAGCAATCTTGAGAAAGAAGAACAAAGTTGGAGGAATAATGCTATCTGATATCAAACTATACTATAAGGCCATAGTACTCAAAACAGCATTGCAGTGGCATAAAAACAAACACATAGATCAATAAAACAGGATAGAGATCCCAGAAATAAAACTATGCTATTATAGTCAATTAATATTTGACAGAGGAAGCAAGTACATACAGTGGCCTAAAGATAGTTTATTCATAAAAAGTGTTAGGGGAATTGGACAGATACTTGCAGAAAATGGAACTAAACCACTTTTTTATGCCACACACAAGAATAAATTCTAATATTCTTTTCTTTGTGTATTTAACACAAACTTCCAGTATGTATCTGTGTGACATATTCAGCTTACATAAGAACATAGTAAGTATTGTATTATTTTGGGATAATTGAACTAGTATTTCAATATCAAATTATCCCCCATATCACTGAAATGACAGTATTAAAATTGCAAATGCCTTTGGGAAATTATTAAAATTCATTAGGTTATTTATTCAGTTTCATAATCTGTTGTATATTTTCTAGAACTGGGTTCATTAGATAAGAAACTAAATTTATTTTTTATGGTTACTAAAGCAGAATTTTATAATTTTCTCCAGAAGTTACAGAAAAATTACCTAATGCTAACAGTTATTTTCTATCAGTGTAAGAAGAAGACAGTAAAAATTGAATTGACAGGCAATTTTTATAACCATTAATCAAAATGCATATAAAAATTTTGATTAAAGATTGTTTGGCCTTGGAAACAATGAAAAAAGTTATCCTTTTAATAATTAATATGTAAGTTTTTCTAAAATGTCACCATATTAAAACAGTATAAATTAAGGTGCCATATAATATTATTGGATGGGGAAAAGAAAATCTTCAACTCTAAAGAGACTGGTCAATAGTGATCAATAATATAGAATGTTTAAGCTATATTAATTTTTGATAAATTTACTAAATATTGCATTTGTATTTACTATCCCTGTGACTCATCAGAAATAAGAGGAATTTATTCATTTTATTTAAGCCTTCTTGCTATCTGAGCACTTGGTCACAGTGATTTTTAAATTATCAATCATTTTATTTGGTGAATTTATTTTCCTCATTAGGATTTTTTAATTAGGTATTTCTTCTATTGTTTAAAGATTTCTTAAAGTATGGGGAGAATCATACCATATGAAAAGATACACAAATTAAAGAATAAAAGTAAAAACAACAGGTTTTAAGGATCTCCTTTCTTATGTTGAAGAAAGACCTGTCTTATTTTTAACCTTTTGTATTCTTGATATACTTAAAATTCTACGTATGTTTGTATGTGATCAATAAACTGGTAGAGGCAATGTCTTATTTTTATAAATTGCCATTATATCATTAATAAAAGAAATTATAACATGCCAGGGTTTTAATAATCAAAACATGTGAGATATACTTGAAGGATAGTGGTCTCTCTGGGCACATCTGAGGGCTTTTGTCTATTTTTAAAATATTGGCTCATGCTAAGATGAGTTTTTATAAGAAGTAAGATCTTAAAATTATGGATACTATTTGATATTAGTTTGGTTTCATTTGGTTCTCCTTTGGTATCTCTCTCATTGTTATATATTTGACATATACCAGCTATGGTTACGTTCTCTGCTGTTATGCCTAAAAGAAGTCTAATTATTTCATTTCATGTAGATACTGTAATGATCATTCAGAAGTAGTTTTCCATGAGTAGTAAGGGATGGGTACAGTTTCTGTCAGAAACCACCAAATTTTAGAATCCATTTGGGGTGTAGATCAAGGAGGAGATTCTGCTTTCCTGTGGTTGGGTTTTCATTTAAAATGCAGTGGAAGCACCAACTTCACTAGGTCTTTGATCACAACATGATTTTCATTGAAATTGTTTTAACTTTTTCATTGATATTATTAATGGCTCCCCAAATAAGCCCTTAATCTTATAACTATTGCAAAAAAATCATCTGGACCTCCTGAATTACATGGGATGCAACTATAAAGTGACAAATCTGCAGAGTAAAATTGCTTTAAAGCACCCTGAGTAAATCATCTGTGGACGCTCTCCTGGTGGTTTCTCAAGTAAGAATTGTCACTTAGCTGAAATAACTGTGGTTAATTCTCCGTGGAGGCAAGTTCCTTGCTTGTATTTGGACTTGCCCAAAATAAAGGCTTTCGACTCAAGGAAAGAAGAACTTGGGTTCCAATTTTTAATCCCCTAAGAGATAGAACCACCATGTCCACATTATAAGCTGCTTTATAATGAACTTTCAGTCATGCTATTGACAAAGGTTAAATAATGCTAACATTACTAAATATGATATAGATAGTTTAATGCATTTGAACTTAAATCATAATGGCAAATATCTTTTCTAAAAGAGGTTAAGAATCGTTTTCTTTCATTTTCTCTGTCTAGAAATCTGATCCTGTGTCAGGTTCAAAATATTTTAAGCATGTCTCTAGATGGAAAGATTATTAATAAAAGTCATTTGTGTATCCTTGCATAATCATGTTAAAAAGGCTTTGTAACTTGTTTCATCCTCATGAATCAGACAAAAGTCACAGGCAAGGACAGACATGAAACACTTTTATAATATGCAGATGTTTTGCATACACATGGAACAAATGCATACATAAAAGTGTGTACTAATGTTAGTTAAAGGTGAAAAACTGGGGACTTGAATCAAAAAGTATGTGGCATTGAATTTGTACATTTTCCCCCAGGAGAAGTAGGCAATGTGATGCCTGCTCCACAGAAGCCAGTTTTCCCTGCTGTTCTGATGGCACCTCCTGCTCTCAAATCCAAGTGCATGCTCCCACCTTCCTGCCCCACACCCCACAGATTTCCTGGGCGTTAGTGTTTGAAAGTCATTCCACAAGACTTGCTAAGCTGCCAGAACACTGTATTTCTCCTTCTCAGAACTTCTAATCTTACTCATTATCATCTATATCCATTTTTATTACATCTAAATACTTATAAAACCTGTATTATCACATTTTAGACAGTTGCCTTGTCTAAAGTAAATTGTAGGCTTCTAGAGGCCAGGCTTTCTGTTCATCTTATCTAAAAATAACTTTTGGTATGTAATGAAGTATAAATGAATGAAAAAATATGCTCTCCAATTTTGTCACTTAAAAACTTTCTTAACTCTATTAACTGTATGATTTTTATTTCTTTTTATTTTATGTTTACACACTTCAGCAGTTTAAAAAATAGTTTGTATAACATTGCAGTCTAAAGGTGAACATGGTTGTTGGCAACTGGTAACTGCAGAAATTTTGTACTATGAATTAAACTGAGGTTTTCATGTTTAATTCAGACATTAATGAGAATATTTCCATTTTTAACTTTACCAACACTTGAAAGTCAATAATAATGCAATGTACCATGGCAGTTACTCTGGGTTTGGTCAATAAATTAGTCAGACATTGTTCCTGCCTCCAAAACTATTGTTTTCTGGAGCAGATAAATAACAAACAACTGTATCATTAGCCCACTATTTTATTTTTATCTCATTTACATTTATGAAGGGTTAAAAAATAAAACCAGAAG